TTTTTTTTTTGGCCGAAAAAGAAACTATTCATTAAAACAAAGTTCAAAGGTTCAGATTACAGAGAAAAAGAAAAGTCGCAAAAACAAAACGAAGCTAACCAAACAACACATAACCAGTAAAACAGTAACATGCAACATAAGATATATAGAGCTCCCTGGAAGATGCAATGAGTCCAAACCAGAAGAGTGGGTGCTGAACAGAAGAAGGGTGCCCCTGCCTGCTGCAGGACGCTCTACCTCTAAAGCAATTACTATCATGAAGCCTTTCCAATGACAACACCAAGATAACTCCAACAATGACTAAAGCAGCAACAATAACATTAATAGAGGGAGGTTGTTGTGACGAAAGGTGAAAAAACACCATTGGACCCCTTGGCAAATAACGTTATAGAGACTTGAAAGACAACACTCTTGGATGATTTTCCCTTTTTTTGTTAACGACTGTTTCTCTGTAAATTGCAGCCATCAGAATAAAAAATTCCTTCAGTCTTCTATTTGACTAGAGTTTCTGTTTTAGTGTAATAGCATCATTTGCTAGTTGTGGTAAAAAACATTTTAGCGACCACAAGTATAACTTTACCCATTTTTTTGAAATAGAGATATTAGTAATTGAACCTTGGAGTTAGATACTTGGTTAAAAATATAAATAATTCTATTATCAAATTACATGACTAATTATAGATAACTTTGTTAATAAATGTTTCAAATTGATATATATATGTATAAGTAGGAATTTATTTATATAAAAATTTTATATATTACACTTATACAAAAATTTTAATTATTTATTTCAAAAGTGAAAAGATGAACGGTTGAAATTTTATATAAGTATAGTGTGTAAAACTTATGTATAGGTTGATCTTTTTTATATCGGTAAAGCTATAGTTACAATGCCAACGTGTTATTTAATGAAATATGATATGATATTAAAAGAGTGGGTATATATAATATCATAAGTAGATCTGTGACTAGAAAGAGCATATTGTACGTTTATAATGCCGTGTGGCATTGGAACTATAAAATTGTTGTGTGTGTATATATATATATATATTTGGGCTGGGCCAAGCTTTTTATTAACCAAATTTTAAGTTGGGCGTGATTATTGCCCCACTATGAAAAAAAATGTTAAGGCCAGCAAAGTTTCAAAATTTTTTTTTCTCCAGTGTCTAAAAATATTAATTCAATGATTAATTTTAATTTATTAATTAATGAATATCAATTATTCTATTAGTTATTAATCCATAGTTACAATTATTAATATTTTTTACAAACAAAATATTTTACAATTTTTATGGCCATAATAACATTCTTTGTTGACAGCCATGACATGCCCAAATTTTGGGCCGCAAGATTAGAAGACTGACCCGTAAATCAGCCCAAAATAGACTAAGAAGAAGAATTGCTTTATTGTACGGAGCCCATTCTAGCACCATCCTCTACAGCCTGCAAATAGTTAGGGCTTTGCCCCGTAGCATAACCCCAAAAAAAACAGATTATCGGTCGATTCTTGCTGCTTTTCCCGTCGGCGAAGAGCGCCCAGCCGGAGGAAGGAGGAAGGAGATGGCGGATGTTAAGCCAGGCGAAGAAATCCCTCCAAACATGACGCTTTACATCAACAACCTTAACGAGAAGATCAAAATCGACCGTACGTATTTAACTCTCTGATTGTCACACACCAAGATAGCTACATTCTGTTAATTTTAGGGTTTCGTTGTTCAAATTCTTGACTTTCTGTGTATAATGCAGAGCTGAAGAAATCGCTGCTCGCAGTGTTTTCACAGTTCGGGAAGATACTGGATGTATTGACATTCAAGACATTGAAGCATAAAGGTCAAGCTTGGGTGGTCTTTGAGGAAGTTAAATCTGCCTCTAATGCACTCAGGCAGATGCAGGGTTTTCCCTTTTACGACAAGGAGATGGTATTTTATACTTCTTAATTTCTTTGACTTTGAAATCTCAGCTGAATTTATTTGTTTCCCTTGCTTGATTTTAAGTCTGGATTGCGGTTTTATCTTTTGTTGTGTCACTTGCTGCTTTATACAAAATCTAAAGTCCAATGCTTCATGTCTTCATAAATGAATTTTAGATATCTTCCAAAAGGGGGGTATGTGGTAATTGGTAACTACGAATCATGTTCTGGGTGATGATCAGCTAGGTAGGTTAATATGGGGTTAAAGCTCATACCTTTTTTGGTTGATTCCAAGCTTACACCATAACCCTTTTGTGTCTCACCAGCCCTTGAACCAATGACCTTCAACCTGACTATTCTACACAGTTTTCCTCCTGCTATATTTCTAATGCGCCTTTAAATTCTATATTTTCCATTTTTCTTGTTGCTGGAAATATCAGTTAATGGTAACATCTGTACAGTCAACAGTGTTGGTTATTTTTGTGTCAATAAAATGATAACAAAATCATTTGTAATTATTGCAGAGAATACAATATGCCAAAACAAAATCAGATATAATAGCAAAAGCTGATGGTACATTTGTTCCACGAGAGAAGCGAAAAAGACATGAGGAAAAGGGTAAGTCTCTCTCTTTAATATAGAGGGAACTCATGTTAAATTTTACTTTTATTATAGATTGCAAGGTAAAACATCATTATCTCATTTTTCTCTTCTTTTTTATTATATTTTAATCTGTTTTCTTGGAGAACTTCCTCAATATGACAATCATGTTACTGTTTTGCCTGAAATTGGTTATCTTAATTGAAGTTTTCTTTTCCTTTCTCCATTTTACCCCAAATTTTGCATGAGATGTACATGTTTTCTTTTTGTAGGAGGAAAGAAACGAAGGGAACAACATGATCCTAATCAAGTGGCAGCAGGTCTGAACCCTGCTTATGGTGGTGCCTTTGGTGCAACACCTCCTGTGAGTATTTTATTATGGGAATCCTGTAGTATGCCATTTCACCTCTTCTGAATTTGTTTCTAGTTGCCTGCAATTCTTACTCGTTGTCACTCTACTATGATGCAGCTATCACAAATTCCCTATCCAGGTGCAAGACCTATTGCTCCAGAGGCACCCGCTCCGCCAAATAACATACTGTTTATTCAGAATCTTCCACGTGACACAACCCCAATGATGCTTCAAATGTTATTCTCTCAGTATCCTGGTTTTAAGGAGGTTAGGATGATTGAAGCAAAACCAGGGATTGCCTTTGTAGAGTATGGAGATGAGATGCAATCAACTGTTGCAATGCAGGCTTTGCAAGGCTTCAAGATACCGCCAACCCAAAACCAGATGTTAATCACTTATGCAAAGAAATAGATTAGGAACTTTCATTTTGCCATCCCTCTGAGGAGACTCCGCGTCAAACATCCCTGGACGTCAACTATCTAATTACTGTTGTTGTGATATATTCCCTCCCCTTAGAGGAACTTCCGGATTCTTGATGTACTTCTGTAGTTTAGATGGTTTTTGTTTCTGTATCTTTTCATTTGTCAGTTTTAATGATGTTTTGTGTAAATATATCTCTGTTCTAGTAATTGTCTCAGTTGATTATGATTTACTTTGCCAAAGAGAATAACAAACTGGTGGTCTTTCCTGAAATTATGCAGCATTCTTCCCTAGCTGTGTGTTACTGTTGACTGTTGAGCATAAACTTATCTAACAGCACTTGCTATACATTACAAGCAGTTAAACGACAGGAAAACAAGAGTAATGCCATCGGCCAGTATTCTGAATAACAACTTCGGGGGTTAAGCAAGATTCTCGATGGAATGGTTACAAAGAAATGAACAATTTGGATGGCTAAAAGCCTATTGCTAACCAACTACACCCTCTCCAGTTCAGTATTGTGCTTTTCCAGTTGATCTTTCAACTCCTCTTGCCATCCTTGGATCAGTCTCTGCTGCTTGTTGATAATCTCATTTTTTGCTTTCAATTCTTCCTCCATTGCAGCAATCTCCTGTTCAGACATGACAGATCTCAGAAAAAAAAAAGGGGTTCTTCAGGTGCAACACAAAGATGTTATGCAATCTAATAACAAAGGTGTGTGGATTACTTTTCCAAGTATTTCTGCCCTGGTTGGCTGATCCTCACGTTGCAGGCCAATGAAGAATAGTTGGAGCTTTTTGGCAGCTTCCATAAAATCTCTGGCATGCCTTTCCACATCAACTGAACCAATTGCAAAAATACAAACACCATTCAGTACATAACATCATGTATTCATAACAAAACTGCTGTTCAATTATTAAACTCTAAACTCCATCTTCCGATTTAGTCCCTACTCGTTTCATTTAGGTTATGTTTGGGAACTTGAATTCATACAAGAAGATGAGATCTTTGCAGGGAAGAATGGAAGATTAACGATAAATTGTTTTCAATCTCTCTGCCAGAGATTGGTCATTTGGCGCCGTCGTCTGACGGAAATCATCCACCGTCGAACTCCATCGGAATTTTTCTAGGAAGAGGGGAGTTGAAATACATAGATCTAAATTTGAAATACATGGGGTTTGGAGGGTATTTAAAATACACAAATTTTAAAGCAATGAGATGAAATATATGAACCCAATTACACGTATTTGAGTTAAATTCAATTACATACTTATTTTGTAAAAACAGAATGCCCAAATTCAAATACCCTCCATGAAAATCACGTTCCCAACCCAAACTCACAGTTAAAGAAGATAAGAGATAAACTACCATCATGAACAAGCAAAACATCCTCCTAAAATGCTACTCAAAGATTCAAACTTTGCAAAACCTAGATGAAAGAAGCTTCCGGAAAGACAAGAAACAGAGGAGATAAGATACTGACTTTGATGAGAAGGGTGGGGAGAACGGTCTATAGCCTGGAGCTCTCTGGCCGGTAAGCATGGAAGCAGAGCAGCCTCAAGCGCCCCCACACAGGCGATCATGTCCTCCGTCGCAGATTGTGGTGATTGCGGCTGACCCTCCGCCCTCTCCGCCATACTACCCTCCACAGATCTCTGTTCTTCGGCAATCGGAGTGTTTTAAGCAAGAAAAACCTTAAACCTCAGCCCACGAAAGACAAGGTGTGTGTATTTTCTTCCTTTGGGCCCGCATTTGAGCCCAATATAAAGAAGAGTGCAAAAGACGATTTTTACTTTCTTTGAACGACGTCGTTATAAAGAAAATTGAAACTTACCCTGAAAGCA